CAACTTATTGAACTTTTTCAGGATAGGGAATAAGAATTGCAAACTGATTGATTGTTTGTGGTGTTTTCTTAGTGAATGACTCAAAGTGAAGAGGTGGGAGTAGAAAGTATAGTTTGTTACCATGAGGACCTAGTTTCTCCAAATCAGATGATGTTCCACCCTTGATGTCATGATTTTTTCCAACAGTCATTTGAAAACCACCAAAATTTGGCATCCAAGCATCAATGGCAGCATAATTTTTAGTCTTGGGAATGTACAATTGATTGTGAGTTTGGTTTTCTTCAACATGGTCAACAACTTGTGGAGGGAGTCTTGATTTTGGAATCTTGAGGTCAAAGGAACCAGACTTGAGACTTTTCCTACCAGAGACAAGTTCTCGACATTGGAAGGTACCACCTTGTTCCAATAAATCAATGGAATGGGGTTCAAAGATGTATCCACAAAGGGCTGCAGCAAGAGGATTTCCAGCACAAGAACCAAGAAGACTCTGCATCTTTAGACGTTCATAAGTCCATTTAGTATGAGCAATAGTCTTCATTGCAGTTTCTGAGGCATATATCACTGTAGCATCTTTATAAGGTGGACTTGACTTAAGATGAACAAGTGTTTGAATAGTCTTTGTTTTGGTGATTTCAGAATGAATTGAAACCAACTTGATACAGTCCTCCAGTTCACATTGTTTACAAGCTGAAATCAGAATTGATGTTGGATCTTGTTCAGTTTGTTCCAGCACAAGACGAGGAACACCACCTAAAAGCTCAAAGCGATTCATCCAAATATTAGCTACATTTGAGTAAAGGGGTGCAACAACTTCCAATTCTTCCCTAGTCCATAAAGGCATATAAAAGATAGGAGGAGCTGGAACCAACTTGCTGAATCCACTAATAAAATCTCTTCGAGGGGTAGTTGACAAAATGACAGAACAGGCATCAACAGGAAATCCAGGAATGTTAGTTGGATCTTTTGAATCAACAAGGCACCATAAGTCAAATGTCCAGAATTGATGATCTGAAGACAAAGGATATTGAGGATATTCAAATGTTGAATTTCCATCAAAGTATATAGCAGGTTCTCTGGTAACAAATAACACACGCTTTCCTTCCTTCACCAATTGCCAAAAGATATAAAAGAGAAACATAGATTTTCCAATTCCAGG